GCTTTGGTTTGGTGGTTTTCTCTTCCCCCGCTCCCCCCCCCCCTCTTTTTTTTCCCCCCGTTTTCCTTTTTTTCCCCCCCATATTTTTTTCTGCGGGGAGGCTGGGCCCCGTCCGTCCCGGCGGGATGCGCCTCTGTGTCAAAGTCATAGGAATGGGAAAGTGTCCTGGAGCAGTTCAGGCTTCCATTTTGAAATCCTGCGAATAATGGGATCCTCCTCCTTATTTATTTTTTTCCCCACCGTGACTCGGGAGCGCGGCCGCAGCCGTGCCTTGCCCGCCCGGGGCCGGGGCTGTTTTGGCTGAGCCGGCCTGACGGGGGGCTGCTGGAAGCGGGAGATTTACAGAGCTGCCTGAGACTCGCTTGGTTTGGGGCTGAGGTGTGCAATAACGTACACGAAAATGCCGGAAGACCTAGCAGGATTCAAGTTACAGTTTATCAGACTAGCTTTTCCTGGGAGAAATGGAGATGATTTAAAAACCAGGTTGCTTCTCCCCTTAGTTCATGGTTATTACAGTATCTGTATTAATGTGTTACCTGTGGGGATTGTAATTTTCCTTCTTAAAATCTTTAACAGAGTGAAACACTAGTTCTTACTTTAGGCTTCTCTGGACTTGCTTTGATGTCCTCTTCCCCCCAGAGGGACAACCTCTTTGAAGGGTGTTGCCCTTGTCCTTACATTTGATCTGTCTTTTTACCCAGTCAAGTTTGTTGGGGTTTTTTTTGACATTATACTCATAGAAGGCATATTCTGTTTGGACTTAAGATTATTCTTCTTTTTTTCACAGCTGAAGGAATATCAGCAGAAGAATAGCCCTGGAGCAACTGCAGGAACCAAGAAAAAACGAAAAACTAAAGAAGGCAGTAGACCTGAGACTCCCACCAACGATGACCGGCAGCCTCCAGAGAATGTGAGTGTCTCATTTTTTCTCCCAAATTATTTGCTGCCTCCTTGTTCCTTGGTTTCCCAAACAACATGACTAGAGCCAGGAAAGGGTTATGCCGGTATAATACATGAATGGCGTAGACGCCTGTGTTGCCAGCATACAAAGTGTGCTACAGTAGTTAGCAACTACCTCTACTGGAAGGTGCATGCTAGAGTCAGGGTACATGCCGAAGCGGTGTCTGAGCATACAGTGCTGTCGTGCAACCCTGGGTGTGTCCAGAGCTGCTGTTTTGAGGTGTGTGCTCCTAACGAGCTGGAAGATGCTGGTTTCTTTGGCTACCTTTGATTGACGTTTTCTCTCTGTCCTTTTCTGAGCTGTTTCTCTTTCCCCTTTTCTTTCGCCTCCTTTAGATTCAGAACATTCTGAAGGTGCTGGTGTCAGACCTTAACCGCTCCAATGGGGTAGCCATACCCTCATTGGACAAGAGGAAGGTGAGGCAGTGCTCGTGTCCCTCGCAGTGACTCGCTCTCCCTGCTGCATGCTTCGGGTTCTGTTTACACTGACCTCGATTTTTCGGATGGAGCCTTGTCCTGACATATCCACTGTCAGTTGCTTGAGTTTTGTTGCTGTTTTTATTAACATGAAGCTATTTGTTAACATGCGTTTCCATTGCTCGTAAGTGTTTGTTTCCTTCTGGTTTATGTCAAAATTAACATGAAAAAGTGACCTTTGTCAAAACCTCTTCCTTGAGATGGTTGAGCTTTGAGGAAAACATGGAATTTGGGCTGAAGCAATAAACTAACAACCACTGAGGAAAACTGCACTAGGAAGAGGTGGTGTTTTCTTAGTCTGTATTTCTCCTGTTCTGCATGTCATTGCTTTATTTCCTAGAGCCTTGTTTCTGATGGGCATGTTTCTGCTCATCCCCAGGCAAGCAGCTGCCCTGAAGTAAGCTGTCTAGTTATTCCAGCCAACCCATTTTATGACAGGCGATGAAACTTGCACAGGTGATGTACAGTCTGGCAAGCATGATGGGTTTAAATATGTTTAGGCAGGAAGTCAGATACTTCAAGCATTTACAAGCTTTAGCATCTTCATATTCCCAAGCTTCTGAAGAGGAAAGGGCAGGAAGTACGCCAATAATCCAATAAGCGATAGAAATGTGTTCAGGAGCAAACATAAACAAGGAGTCTTTTTAAAAAATGCGTTTCAGCCAGCCATATTTAAGTAAGGCTCAAACTGCGATAGAAACTCAGTGAAGTCAAATTTTGTAGCCCAGAATTTTCTTCCAGTTTTCTTGTACCAAAGCTCTGCTTTTCATTGTCACTTGCATCATTTTGGTAGCTTATTTCCCTACTATTGTTCCACTCTAGTTGTCATGAAGTAACTCATTATTATATTTACTGCATATCCATGTGTCTTCAGCAATAAATATAACTAGAGTAATCACCAGGGGTACCAGAGAGGTGCAGTGAAACCTGCAAGATGGGATGGAGTTCACTCTGAATTGCCTTTGTATCCCTTTTCTCCTTTTTTTGGTGTGATAATACAGCAGCTGTTCTGTCCAACACACAGAGTGAACAGCAGATAGTTCCTCCAACTGGACCTTGCGTGTGTAGGTTGTGTATCAGTAGAACTTGAGTGACATGAAGACTTACTGCAAGCTTTGTGGGTGCTGGATGTGCCTGCCTAGCATCAGAAAGCATGTTTTGATTGAAGTTTCACTCTTGTCACGGGGACAGTTTTCACTTAATACTTGTAAACTCCGTGCAAGTTTGATGTCAGAGAAAGAGACGTTTCACACTGGAAGGTGAGATGAAGATGGGTGGTCCAGCGCTGTTGCGGAGATGGCATTTGGTCTTGCAGTGAAGACCTGCGTGTGTTTACAGTTTTAGTCCTGTTCTGGAAATGGAGAATTTATTACTTCTGTTCTTTCTTGTTTTCCCAATGTGGTTGTTTTTTTTTTTCTCTGCTTCCTTAGCATGGAGAGATACATTTTGATTGGATTGGCTGTTATGGAATTTGTGGATTATTGTGTCTGAGGTTTTAGGAATAATTTGAAAA